ATATATATATATATATTTGTAGTTAGGCACTACACCTTTGTTTTATTTATTTATTTTTGTGTGGTGCTGAGAATTGAACCCAGAGTCTCGCACAGGCTAGGTGAGTGCTCTACCGCTGAGCCACAACCCAGCCCCCATCTCATTATTTTTATTTCTTAAAAGAAAAGAACAAACTCTTCTTGTCCACTTATTCTTTCAGGTGAACTTCACTGATCACTTTGACCTGTACCATGTTCGTGAGAACTGACATCTTCACCAACCAAGTCACCCCATGCAGGCACATGATCTGTGCTGTCTCTCAGAAGTGACCTGGCTTCCCTTGTGTAGGTCTCACACACATTTCTTGCCAAGAGCCTTCTGAGCCCAGTTTTTTTTTGGTTTTGGGTTTTTTTTGTTGTTGTTGTTTTGTTTTTTAGTTCAGTGCTTTCCAAACTATAATGTGCATATAGTCACCAGGGGATCTTTAAAAGCAGACTGATCAAATAGGCAAGGGACAGAGCCAGGAGTGGAACTGGGGTCCTGCCATCCTAATCAGAGTGCTGATCTGTGATTGTTGTTTAGTCTCATACCTTAGAACTTGTTATTGGGATTATCTAGAAAAACTCATAATTTTTATTTGGCCAGTTTTGCATACAGTTCCCTTTCTGAACCCAGGAGGTTTGCGTGTTGCTGTGGAGACCAGCTACAGCTGCCAGCGGTGGGGAGAGAGTCTGGGGAGAGAGCACTATCACACTGGCACTAACACAGGACCTATGGCAACCCTGTGCGGAAGTCTAGGCAACAGACACCCGTTGCCTGGCAGCAGCCCCCTCCCACCCTGGCCCTTGCTGCCCTACTGCATGACAGACTCAGACCCAAGAGCCTCTCAGAGCTGGTGCTCAAGAAATACTTGCTGGATGACTGAATGAGGACCACCCACCCTGCTCTTCTTCAAATGAGGACACCGAAGCCCAGGGTTCCTCTTATACTTGGGGGTAACTTGTTGGAGCTGAGTTATTGGTATGGCTGGAAATGAGAACTCAGGTTTTGTTTGTTCGGTTTGTTTTCTTTTTTGCCTTCTGCTCAGAGTCCCACCTTGTGCTGGGCCCTGAGAGAGACAGTAGAGAAACACAGCCCAAGATGAGGCCCTAGAACCACAGCATGTTAGAACCGAGAAACCTTCAAGATCATTTTACTCAGGGCTTCTTAAGCAGGGTGTTCGGAACCATATTGTGTGTGCCTGGACTTCAGCCCTGGAGCGTCTGATTCGGTGGGGCTGTGGTAGACACTGCAGGCTGTAAATAATCCCTGGAGAGGTGACCCAGATATGCAGCTGGATTTGGGAACCACTGTCCTGTCCCACTCTCCTTGTTTTATTGAAGAGAAAACTGAGATGGGAAGAGAAGCAATTTGCAGATGGCCACACAGCCATTCCTTAGAATTACCTTAAGACCTGACTTCCTCTGGAAGTCCAACCATGAACTTCCTGCCCAGGAGAGGGAGAAAGTAAAGGGGTGCAGGAAGTGAGACTGACTGGGCACTTAGACCTGTTGTCCTATTTCTGCAAGGATAGTGGCCCACCAGAAAAATCTTTTGTGTGAGTGGGAAAGAGAGTTGTCTAAGGGCCATGAATAGAGACAGGCAGAAGCCTTTCACCCCATCTTCTAAATGTCTTTCAGGTCATCCAGCAGAGTGAATGAAAAAGCAAAGATCTTTCTGGGTACAGTAGCCCATGCCTATAACCCAGCAACTCAGGAGGCTGAGGCAGGAGGATAGCAAGTTCAAGGCCAGCCTGGGCAACTTAGTGAGCACTTGTCTCAAAATAAAACATAAAAAAAGGACAGGGAGAGCACTGGCCTAGCATATGTGAGGCACGGGTTTCAAAAAGAAGAAGAGATCTCTCAAAGTAGAGTCAGTGAGAGTCTGTATCACAGATGTGCCACCAATATTAAAAGTTACTTAACCTAAGAGTCAATTTCTTTACCTATAATATATACCCATTTGACTGGGTCAGCCCATAGAGTCAGAGGTTAAGCATACAACAGTTGGAGCTGGACTATCTGTTCAAATCCCAGTTCTGCCATGTGGCTTTGGTGAGTGATTAGCAACAGCTTCCTCCCCCTCCCCCTCCTCCTCCTCCTCCTTCTTCTTCTTCTTCTAATTTGTAGACGGACACAATGCCTTTGTTTTATTTATTTATTTTTATGTGGTGCTGAGGATCCAACCCAGTGCCTCACATGTACTAGGCAAGTGCTCTGCCACTGAGCTGTAACTGCAGCCCGATGTAACTTCTTTATACCTCAGTTTCATCACTTGAAAAATGATGACAAGAATAGCAATTCCCTCAGAGGGTTGTTGTGAGGATGAAATGAATTAACACTGCTCTGTAACCTCTGAACCCCAGTGTGCCCTAGGCCATGTCTTTAATCTCTCTGCTGCCTACACTCACTTCCTTGTCTTTCAATGCCAACTACATACTGGCCAAATTTACATCTCGAGGACTGGGGATGTGGTAGCCTGCTTGCCTAGTGCGTGCAAGGCCCTAGAGTCAATTCCCAGTACTGGAAGAAAAAAAAAAAAAAACAGTTGCCAAATTTGTAGCTAAAGCACATTTTTTTCCTCTGAACTCTTCATTTAGGTAGCCAACTGCCTAAAAGACTACTCTGCTTGGACATCTGATATCTTAAGTCTAATATGCCAAAAACTGGTCTCATGATCTCTGCCCCAAACTTGTTCTTTCCAAGGCTTTTCCTATGTCATTCACTATGGCCAACCCTGTCCCTGCCTGCTCAGCCACCATCCTTGCAGTCATCTATTAACCCAGAATTCTTGATTTTACTTCAAAAGATACCTGGAATGGGATCACTTATCACTACTCCCACTTTAACCATCCTGGTCCAAATCACCACCATCTCTCACCTGGACTAATGAAATTCTTGGTTCCCTGCTTCTTTTTGTACTTCCTTGTATTCTGTTCTCAGCATCCAGAATGAGCCTGTTTCAGCAAAAGCCGGTCCTGTCACTCCTGCCCTCAAAACCCAGTATTTCTCAATTTCGAGTAAAAGTCAAGTACCTGCTGGGGCCTGTGATACCCTGCAATCTACCCCATCTTCTCGCTGCTATCATCTTCCTTTACAACCCCTGACCTCCTTGCAAGTTCCCACACCTCAGAGTCTTTGTTCCTTGTTCTGCCTGATACACTTTTACCCCAGCTATTCTCCTGCCTCATGTTCTGAACACCTTCAAATTTTCACTCAAAAGTCCTCTAGTAAAAACCAGGTGCAACGGCACACTCCTGTAATCTCAGCTACTGAGGAGGCTGAGGCAGGAAGATCGGACGTTTGAGTTCAGCCTGAGCAACTTAGATCCTGTTTCAAAATAAAATAAAATAAAAAGGCTTGGGATGCAGCTCCTGTTTGTTTTAAAGGTCCCCTCATAAATACTAAGACTCTCCTGGTAGCCTCAGTCCTCCCTATCTTCCTCTTCTGTGTGACTTTTTTTAAAGCATGCCCTCCTGATATATGTTTTTTGTTTTAGTACCAGGGATTGAACTCAAGGGTGCCTAACCACTGAGCAACATCCCAGCCCTTTTTATTTTTTATTAAGAGACAGAGTCTTGCTAAGTTGCGTAGCACCTTGCTAAGTTGCTGAGGCTGGCTTTGAACTCACGATCCTCCTGCGTAAGCCTCCTGAGCCCCTGGGATGACAGGTGTGCACCCCAGCGCTCGGCTCTGATACAGTTTCTTAAGGGTACTCTTTTTCTGTCCCACCCCATTAGAAAATAAGCTCCACGAAACTGGAAGACAGGAAGCTTCATCTGCATTCACTGCTTCATCCTCAGAGCTTAGACCAAAACCCAAAACATAAAAGATTCTTCATAATAAGTATTGATTAAATTTAACAAATACATGCTGATTCTAATAATTATTTTAACATTTTGGAGACAGTAAGGGGCAGAGAAAGAACAATCTTGAGCATTGACATTTCATGGTGAAAGTGAAAACCTCTAAACAATGTTTATGAGCTAAATGAAAAGGCATGCTACAAAATCCCATGTATACTATGCTCACAAATTTGAAAGACGTGTGTATAAGAAAAAAGAGAGCACACAAAAGTTATATTAGTTCTTGTTATAGGACTCTGACGGATTTTTCCTGCTGCTTTACAATTATATGTGCTGTTGAGTCTTAAATAAAATAAAACTTTAACTTACTACCATTTGAACATGATATCCTTAACATAAAAACAAACCAAAACTAGACCTTATGTTTTCTGTGGTGCAGAGAACAGGTAATACACTAGCCTGGTTTACAGTTATGTCTAAGACGAGTAGGAAGTAAGATTGTAGGTGCTGATCAAAGAGCTTTTGCTATAATGTTTTAAAAGAATGTGTTTTTATATTGTGTAATTAGATTTTTTATTATTATTATTGTAAGGATAGAAGAAAGCATTTAAAAATTCTGAAACAAAATAAAGTGTGAGTCGGGCACAGTGGCACACAACTGCAATCCCAGCTGCTCAGGAGGCTGAGGCAGAAGGATCACAAGTTACAGCCAGCCTCAGCAACTTAGCAAGGCCCTAAGCAACTTAGTGAGACCCTGTCTCAAAAGGGCTGGGAATGCCGGGCATGGTGGCACACGCCTGTAATCCCAGTAGCTCAGGAGGCTGAAGCAGGAGGATTGCTAGTTCAAAGCCAGCCTCAGCAATGGTGAGGCCCTAAGCAACTCAATGAGACCCTATCTTTAAATAAAATATAAAATAGGGCTTGGGATGTGGCTCAGTGGTCAAGTACCCCTGAGTTCAATCCTTGGTACCGAAAAAAGGACTGGGAATGTGGCTCAATGGTTGGATGCCCCTGGGTGAAATCCTAAAGGGTCCCAAAACAACAAAATTTTCTTTTCCTGTCCAGGCTCAATTTGCCTTCACTTAAGACACAAATGAGAGAGGCCTGGAACCTCCCCCCCACCACTTTGAGGTCATGGCTCCTGGTGACACACCCCATGTCTTCTGCTTGTTCTAGGGATGGATGGGGTGAGGAGACACCTCTCCCCTTCTCCCTGGGTCCAGCAACTCCCATGAGAGCCCTGAGATCCAGAAGGGAAGAGCAGATTAGCCTTCTGCCAGTGAATTACTCACAGTTTAGCTTGCTTGGTTGGAGACAGGCTGGCCTCCCAAGGGTCATCTGACTGCAAATTCCTCCAGCTCAGTGACAACCAATGAGCAGCTGCAAAGCCTGTTTCTCTCAAGGACACACCCACACATGTCACATCACCCTGCAGTAGCTTTGGATTATAGAGAGGAGTCCTTCATTATCCTTTGGTGCCACTGTGCATTCCTGAGACCCTCTTTGTGATGGCTTCCAAATTCTGCCTATATTGAAGAAGAAACTAGGTGCAGGGGAGGCTGGCAAGACCAATGTGGGGACTCTTCTTTCCTGTCCCCAGGCATCTCTCCAGCCACTCTCTTTTCCCATTGCCCAGGACAAGGAGTCTTCTCTGCCGATGACCAGGGCTCAGCTCCCAGAATCTGTCTCCAGAAAGAAGTTTCCAGAGTCAGGAAGTCTGGCCCATGTCCATTTTCCAGACACTGGACTGGCTGGTTCTTGGTGACCAGTCCATTGCCTGTTTCTCTGCCCCAGCCCACATCTGGGAAAGGTGAAAAGGCACTGGGTGGTTTCTGGGCCAGTCAACAAGCAAAGGGTGACTGTCCTCACGGGGGAGCTGAACTCTCTGAGCCACTCTGTCTTTGCAGGGCACATCCCCTCAGCACCAGTGGGGATTCGGGAGGGTGGTGGGGCTGGATCATCACATGAAAAACAGAATTCTTCCTGTCCTGAGGCTGGCAACAGGGACAGCTGCAGCTTATGATCGTTTAGTTTCTTGAGTAGAATTTTAGGCAAATGTTTTTGTTTGTTTGTTTTGCAGCACTGGGGATCAAACCCAGGGCCTCGCACATGCTAGGCAAGTGGTCTACCACTGAACTACACCCCAGCCTTCCTGGGTAGGATTATAAACTCCAGAGACTACTGATTCAGTCATCGGATATGTGTTCATCCATCCATTCATGACCTTCGTGGACTGCTGAGTCCATCCTGTGCCTGGCACCGTGCAAGGGTGTTATTCAGTAGTAAAGAAGGGATAAGTACACAGACATCTGTATGACAAAGAAGAGTCAGGTCACCCTTTGCTTGTTGACTGGCCCAGAAACCACCCAGTACCTTTTCACCTTTCCCAGATGTGGGATGGGGAGAAGAAAAACAGGCAATGCCATCTACCCCCATCTAAAAAAAAGATACTTGGTAAAAAAAAAGACTCTCAGTCACATAATTTGACAACATTATTTGAACACAGAGATACGTCAAGTGTCATGAACCTACTAAGCACCAAACCTGATATCCAAAGCTTGTGTCATTTTTCTTGGCCTTGTTGGCAACCCCAGCATGGGCACAGCAGGCCCTGTGATGGAAACGCTCAGGAGAGAGACCTTGGCCCTTCCTACCCCTCCCCCACCAGCCCCAACTTGTAGCCTCTTCATCTCTTCATTCATTCAGTCAATGGGTCAATGACAATTGCTGAGCATCTACTTGTGCAAAAGTTTTGAGGAAGGAAGGAAGAAGAGGAATCATAAATGGCTTTGTCATCTATGGGTCTAATAAGAGCTTATGGTCATAAATAACTACAGTGCAAAGAGACAATGAGAAATATGGTAGATGCTAGCTCAAGTCAGGGCAGGTGTTTGATTTCAAAGACTTCTTGGAGGAAAGGACACTGAGATGGGCCTCAAGGACATT